CACAATGGAAGTAGGTGACGTCTTTTGGATCACTGATCGTAGGGACATCAAAGTTGGGCTTCGTCTTGGATCCACTGCTAACCCCTACAACATCGACCTTCCCTTTCCTGTTGGATTGGGAAGGAAACTTCCTATTTTCCTTTTATTTATATCCAATAGTTAGGATAGGAGCGCTTGTTGCAGAGGGAGCATGATTCTTCTTCACCCCTGACTCTAGAGTTTGCAACAAGTTATGGAGCTGGTCAATGTCGTCTCCGTGTTGTTCAAATGATAAGTAAGAACAAACTGATCATAACTAGGAGGCAAAGAGTTGAGGACCATGTCAATGGCTAACTCCTCGTCAAATGACACATTGAGCCTTTATAGTTGCTCCATGTACATTTTCATCATTTATACGTCAGCAGAAATAGATTCTCCTTCCTTAAGCTTGCATGCCATAAGAGAATTCAGCACTTCGTAGCGCTCTTGTGTCGCCTTCTTCTGGAACTTTCCTATAAAGTCAAAACTCATCACATATGGCATGTAGTCCTCATAGAACATGGCCAGATCAGGTGCTATAGTGGCCACCACGATGCAAGAAACCTTTGTGGCGTCATCATAATGTTTGTTGTAGGAAGCAATTTCCTCAAGATTACTAGCTGTGGAATGACTGATTTCAACAAGAGGCTTCTCGAGAACATATTCTTTTCCCTTGTATAGAAGATTCATCTTCAATTTTCCAATTCAATCCATGTAGTTAGGACCAGTTAGCTTCTCTTTTGACATAATCGAGAGTTGGGAGATGTCTGAGTTGGAGGGGGCGGATTGAGTAGTAGCGAGATCACTAGTTCCATAGATCTATATAAAGAGACATAGTTTTATTTAATGATATAAATCCTTAATATTTTAACCCAAAAAAAATATTCTAGTCTAGGATCTAAAATACAATTCACAACAAAGAAGAGAGATGTCGTAATCTAATTGCGAATTTATTAAGGTAGGTAATACAAATTTTCTAATTTCAATCTAACATGAATTTCCTAGATCATTTTGAGATTCATTGAATCTTATCAATGACATTTTTAATCTTAGATTATGCTCTTCAATTTGTGACTGGGATGCCGAGGATCACAAATAAGATGCGAATAACCATGCAAACCTTCTTGATAACCTCGAGGTCATTTAACATCTCAAATTGACGTGTCGGTAAGCCCCACACACTTCATCAATAATGATAATTTTTGATCTGTCCATCACTCAAATTAATCGTCCCTAATTAGTATGCTGGTTAACCAAGCATACTCTACTAACGACATATAAAGAGTGATGTGCGTTTTCATGGATTAGCATACACTTCACATTTTGTCCTAAAGTAATTAGATTTGAGATTTATAAAAGTTTTTATGACTTTATAGTATCATACTTTTAGAGGTTATGTCCTATCAAACCCGATTGGCTAACGACCCTCCACCATACAAGGGAGCGGTGGGTGAGAGTGGACACACATTCAACAGTCATTTTATAGGTCGTTTTTTTATACCTCCCTTAGAGTATAGCTTCGTGAATGAGGCCTACTATTGATTTGACTGGTTTGTCTTATACATATCTTATACTATATTATAAAACATATTAGTCATATCTTGAATTTGAAGAGATATAAATTACAAAGCATTTGGTACAAATCAATTTAGGATAAATAATTCATTAATACTTAACAAAAGTTTGAAGACTTGAATTAAGGAAAGTAATTAAGAAATTCAGTTTGGAGCAAAACAAAAATTTTAAAACATTAAATTCATGTATATAAATTAATTTACATTTTTTAAACTAGACCAATATTAATTAACCTACATCCATAGTATAAATACGGAATATAAATATAAGGTATAAAGATAAATATTTTATTTAAATTTGGTAATTTTTTATTACATATTTACTAATAATAAAATCTGATAATTATTTTTCCCGTAAACAATTATTTGCCAAAAAAGATATTTACCGCCGCCGCTTTGCGCGGACACACATCTAATAATATTTTATACATTTAATCATATATATATATATATATATATATATATATATATATATATATATATATATATATATATAGTATAAGGTGTATTTTAAATTTTTTTCAAAAGACAAGGTTTAAACATTAATTATCTAAATTTTTTCAAAATGAGTTTTATAATTATCTTTTAATTACTTTACAATTAAATTATTTATTAAATTCATAACGGATAATTCAATTTAATTAATCTAATTAAAATTTATAAAATAATGATATCTCATAATATTTAGGGTTTCAATAATTATCACACAAGGTGTTCAAAATTCAGAATCATATAGAATCAATATCAGAAAATTATAAAAAATAATACCATAAATCATATTAGGCATATAATTACTGAAAAACAAGAAAATCACTTGCCATGTCGTGGCAGAAGCACTTTTTTGCGAAAAAACAAGTTTTTCCAGTTCATCTCATGTGCAATCAATGTTTGACAAGCCTAAGCTCTAATACCACTAATGGGTTTTATAGAAAGCAAGACTTGTACAATGCGGAAAACAATTAACAATTAATAGGGTACTTGCATCCTATAAAAGATCTATGTCATACACATTGAAATAAACATACAACGAACAACTAAACCTAGCATAACCCTAATGAATTTCGAAACTATCAAGCTTAGGATTACATACCTTTTGATTTGTTGTTGCAAAATTGCACACACTAATCCTTGTGGTTGTAGGACTTGGAAAGCCTAAAACCAAAGAGATGATGCCTCTAATGTTTTGTACCCAAACCCTAGTAACAAGGGCACAAGAGGAGAGAGGAGAGGGGAGCAGAAATTCGACTCTTCTAATTTTATATGAGTGCACTAAAATTGAGAACCTAGTGGGTCTTATTTATATATGATAGGGTAACCTTGGAAACCTAAATCTGGAATAAAATAATAATATATTTAATTCAGGTAGTTATCAAGTTTCCTTATATCAGGGAGGCTTCCAGAATGCCCCATAACGGCACTCCAAAACCGTCTACAAAGGAAGGTTCTGGAACCTTCCTTTGTTCAACTTTTGAACATTGTTAACTATAGTCCATGCACCTTAATTAATTCTAAATTCTAATTAATCTCAAAATTAATTCCATTTAATTTTTGATTAATTCTAAATTAATAATTACAATTTCCAATTATTATATTAATCATATAATATATTAATAAATCATTTATTTCAATTTCGAATTAATTTATTATTGTCATAATAAACTAACATCTTATCTTCTCTCTCCAAATGCAATCATTGTTAGTTGCTAGTTATGGGGGAAACCTAAAAAAGACTTTGCTCCTAATTGAAAAATATATCAATTTAGTTATTGACTTAGACACCCCTATTCTAACAACCATAACGCATACAAAAACTCAAAACACTTTTCTTTTTCTGTTTTTATATTATCTGTTTAATGTTTACTAATTAAAAGAATTTAATTAAAAAAAATTTATAAATAAGTGTGTCTAACCACTCCATACTTCCTCCTCCATTACCCTCTACTGTCCACCTCTACCAACCTCTCTGTTCAACCACCACAATTCATCTCCATTCGCCTTTGGCCGGACCTCCGTTCAACTCTCGACGGTTCACCTCTATTAACCACCACTTGTCACCATACCAAATCAAAAGAAATTCAAAAAAAAAAAACAAAACAAAAAAAAAAAAACAAAAACTCTACATAATCAAAATCAAAACTTCTAATCAAACCAAACCTACCTCTGTCGTCAAACCACCACTTCTGCCATCACACAACACTAACCTATCCTCCATCAACAATCACTACCACCACTCTTTACAAAATCAAAACCACACCATAATCAAAATAAAAGGTTGTGTACAAGATCAAAACCTATAATCAATAATAAACTGAACTAAAATAAAAAAGAAAATTGAAAATGGTTCCAAAAATGGAAAGTGTTCCTTAAAATGGTTCCAAAAATTGAAATAGTTCCCGAATATTGTTTCAAATGTTAGAATTGTTCCATAAATCAAAACATGTTCCAAAAAATTTTCTTATTTGCATTTTGTGCTCCTTTATTTTCTTCGGTTCACGTTTCAAAAATGTTAAATTATTTTTTAGAAGAACACACTAACGATTTTTGTCCGCGCCATGTTTTATTTAGTCGACCTGATTGAGGTACTCAGAGTTTCAAGTGAAACAATTTATGTGGTGGACTATGCAAATGTATGTGTTGGAGGTTTCTTTAACGTTGTCGGAGTTGGAGAAGGTGGTGATGTAGTCATCGGAGTTGTAATAGTTATGATGCCACGGTGGTGATGAATAGGCGGCATATCTTATTTAGGGTTGGATTTAGTTATTCATAGAATAAGAGGGTAAAGGTAGGTGAGGTGGAACCAATGCTATAATTTTAAAATATAATTAAAAATATATATAGTAAGCGTAATATAATATTTTTACGTTAATTAGGGATGAAAATCGCAACAAAAATAATTCCCAAGGATTGTCCAAATACAAGAAAAGTTAGGGACAAAAATCCAAATTTACCCAAACCATACGTCCAAATTTATTACGTCCAAATCTATCCAAACCATATCGACATTTCAGTCATTTGTTCTAATTATTATGCATTAATTAAAGTGTGACATGGGTATAAACTTTTTTGTGTTATAAAGGTGGAAATCGAGAGTATTACACAATAACGAACAATAAAGATAGTAACAAAGACAATTTTATGTCACCAAGCAGGCATTCAACGACCAGTATTATTATTATACCAATATTTTGGCTGGTTGGTTAGGTGTGAAATGTGTTATTATTTCGTTTCATTAGCTTGTTTAAAATACTAACCACGTGGTTGTCAAATAAATATTAAAAATTATGAACAATTTTTTAAGACGTACCTATCACGTGCTCGACGTTGACGAAGCTAAAGCATTTGAATCATTTAAAGTACAAAAAATATACAGAGAGCATTTGAAGCATCGGACCCATTTGGGAGTATCAGATGGCTTTGGTAAACCCATTTTCCAGCCTAACCTCCGGTGATAAGCAATGGGTAGATCACATCAGCAAAACCTTGAAAAAACAGCTTGCCATTAACGTCGATACACCTCCACTGTCCATATTTCAAATTCCTCAAATTCTAAAAGACGAAAAGCCCGAAGTTTACGTCCCTCAACGGATAGGGCTTGGCCCTAATCACCATTTCCAGCCAGAGCTCTATCAGAACATGGAGCAAAACAAACTCACTTCCGTGAAAAGGGTACTTAAGTCTAATAAAGTTCAAGTCTCTGAAGACCAAGTCGTAGATAAAGTCAAAGAGATCATCCCTATAATTTGTGCTTGCTATGATTTGTACCTTGATGCTGATGATGACACCTTGGCATGGTTATTCACCATTGACAGTCTCTTCTTTATTGATCTACTTGGTGCTTATATTGATCAACAGGTTGCAATAGATGCAAAAGATTTTATCATGTTAGAGAACCAGATTCCTCTAATTGTATTGAAGGAAATCCAAAAGGTCCTATCTGGTAGCTATGATGAAACCCAAGAAGATTTCTGGGAATCTAAGTTTGGGTATTTCTGTAAGTGCCACTCACCATTTATCCTCTCTAAAGAGAAAATCGATTTAGTAGAGTAAACCATTTACTTGATTATATGTACCAATCCATCGTGACCAATGAAGAATCGATCTCACCAGAAGTTTACTTTCAAAAATCTGGAAGTGGTCCATCTGAAAAAGACGATAAACTAGAACTACTTGAAATGTTTCTCCAACTTATGACACTGATCCCAGGGACTAAGCCATTTCTTCAGATCTTTGAATCCTTCATGAAAACTTTCTCAGAAAGTATTGAGAAGATGGTGACAGCTGATGAGATCAAGGTGCCTTCAGTTTCAGAGCTTCGTGATATTGCAGGAGTGAAGTTCCATTTGTCACCAACTGACGGAGGCATCAGAAACATAAACTTTGTAGGCGAAAATGAGCGGTCTTGTTATCTCCCTCTAATTACACTTAATATTGATTCAGAGGTGATATTGAGAAACTTGGTGGCTTATGAGCAATTAATGGCAAAGAAAAGTTTTACCACTGGATATGGTCTTGAACTCACTGAATATGTTGATTTCATGTGTGGTATCATTGACAATGTTAAGGACGTGTGGTTGCTACGCGAAGAAAAGATCATCAAAGGTGACTTGGGTGATGAGGATATTGTTAAATTGTTTAACGGGATTGGGAGATCTCATGGGAAAATGAATAAGGTGTCGGATTTGAGGAAGACTGTTTATCAATTAAACAAAGTCTACCAAAGCACGCCGAGAGTTTGGGTCCAGAAGCAACTCCGGGCTTCTGCCAAGATGATCACATTCCTCATTAGCATTTCGAGCACACTGATCTTGATTCGTGAGGTGTATTTGAAGGATTATGGTTTGAATCCACCAAACATGAATTTGGATGATATTGTTAGGACCACATTGAGTTCTTTTCTTCATTGATAAGGGGATGGGTTTGTGTATTATCTAACGTACTTGTTTTAATCATTCGATGTACTATATGCCATGAGCTAACTTAGTTATAAATACATCTACAACAACAATATCCGATACTGCCGAACAACTACCAGTACATGAAGCAGCCCAGTTATCACAATACGAGATTCACTCGGCCCAAACGAATCATCAAGAAGCCTGGCCGATTTCTAGAATAAAGCATGTAAGCTTTACCAAGTCAAACAGGTTAGCATTGGATAGTTTTCATTTCTTCTGTTTAGCATGTGTTCCTAATAATTGGGTTCTACATTGGGAGTAACGCACGATTATAGTAGCTGCATTTTCTATTTTTCTTACTCTTAGTTATTGGAGGTTGACCACCTCGAATACGAACCGTTCTAATCATTTGGTGCTTTCATTCCCGATATCCCAACTATGCCTCCCCGGAAAGATACTACAACCGATATACCTCCTAAACCAGAAAATGAACCCAATGAACCTCTCTGATGGACCACCTTCAAGCACTTCTCCATCTCGTTACCGCCACCAGACCAACACCCAGCTCGACAGCCCTCCAAAATTGCTTTATTTCCGGTTTGCGTTCCAACATTCAAAATGGGATCGCATTACACCACCCACCGACCATACAGATTAATGAAACTTATCGAAGAGAAATTAAACACCAATCAAAATCGCTACAAGCTTACAACTCCTTCTCTAGCATCTTCCCCTCTTCTTCAACCTGATACCAAAAAAACAGCTCCACCTTCCTTTTCCTACAGGTGTCGGCCACTACCATGCTACCGCCACCCCAAAACTTTTACACCACTTACCTTTATAAACTTTCCGCCGAAGTAATTCAAAAAAGACATGCTGAAGGTCTTTGTTTCGAATGCGCATCCAAGTTTCACTCAAGTCACGTTTCCAACCCACCTCAGTTCCTTCTTATAGCCGAAAACGAAGAAGCCTACAATACCACAACCACCATTACCAACCCTGCTGCCATCACGAACTTTCACAACCATACATATTAAAATTCAGACCATGACTTCACAACACCTCCTCACTTCCTGTCCCTGTCCCTATCAGATGTGGCTTTCTTGGGGTTGCAACCCCCACGAACACTTCACGTCACCGATTACATCAATGGTCACCCCGTCACAACTCTCATTAACTATGGAAGCACACACATAATTAATCAACCAAGAATCGCCTCTCTCATCAAAACAAGACACCCCCATCAACCCATTTCTTGTCATGATCGACACCGGTTAAAATTTGAAGTTTATGGGTTCTTCCCCATTATACCCCTTAAACTCAACAAAACCACATTTATAGTACCTCTATTTTTACTTCCTGTGGTAGGATCTGATATAATATTAGTGATGAGTTCTAGGTTACAATTAAACATAAAACAACGCAGCGAAAATTACAAAACTATTTGTGGGCACATGTAACCTAGAGTTATATGGCATTTTCTCATTATAGCAACATACTATGAAAAACCATTTAATCTACTGTTTGCAAAAATAAAATAGATTATAAAACATACCTTTTCGTATAAACAATTTGTAACGACGTGAATTTTTCAAACAATTTTTCACATTTTATAAAAACACATTTCCATTCATCATTGTCATAAAACACCAACGGTAATCATAAAAACATAATGTGTCCACTGTAACATAACAAAACATGTCCCAAGATCTCATATACATAAATCCTCTGTGTGTACGAATCATGTCGGCGCCTTCCCGCGATCCTCGCTGGTACCTGAAACACATATCACAACAACTGTAAGCATAAATGCTTAATGAGTTCCCCAAAATACCACATACCCCACATACACCTTTCCAGGCCATAACTCTATAGGATCTTCCGATCCATGTGTCTCAGGGGACTTCCGTCCCAAATCCCGGTAGACCTTCCGGTCCTACCCGTATTGACCTTCCGGTCCGTAACCTCTTGACCTCCGTAACCTCTTGGCCTTCCGGTCCGTACCCTCTTGACCTTCCGGTCCGTAACATACATAACATACACAACATATACATATCACATAACCGCATATAGTACATACATCATAGCATACAAGACCTTCCGGTCAACTTATACATCTCATAGCATATAAGACCTTCCGGTCACACATAGGTACCCTTCCAGGTACAGTATAGTGAGAAGACTCACCTCGTATGATGTCTAGTAACTCACGTGCTCGATATCCCTGAATCTCGAAACAACGACCTAGACCCGCCAAATCACATAAGGTAATTATTTCAAATCATTAACGGCTCTCAAGGCTAGATTAAATCCCTTTCTAAAATCCCACAGAAGGGTAAAAGACCATTTTACCCCTCCTTGACTCAAAAGTCCACATGTTGACCAAAACCCTAAAAGTCAACAAAAGTCAACAGCAAGCAGTACGCGGGGCGTACCAACTCCTGTACGCGGGGCGTACTCTTGCAATCCAGAATCGGGGAGCGCGACCCCTTACGCGGCGCGTACTGGGATTACGCCCAGCGTAAATCCCAGTTTCCTTCTTTCTTCACTCTAGGTCTTAAACAGTTAAGACACTCCTTCAACTTCCAGATCTGACTCTCCTTAAACCTCTTATCCCATAAAGTCGGAACCTTTAAGGCTTTGCATGGCTGTAAAGGTCCTTACACCCTCTAACACCTTTCATTTTCCCTCCAAAGGTCTAGATCTCATGCATTGCTCAATAACAACGACCAAGATGGAAACTTTATGGATCTATAACTCATATATCACTGAAAAGGGACAGATCTAGGTTCATGGAGTCCTTTATGCTCATAAAGTCTCCACCTTTGGGACTTTATCCCTAGAAATGGTCCATGAATCACAAATCAAAATAACAAGGAAAGCTTTGAGCTTTATACCTCCAAGTGAAGCTCTTCCCTCTGTAGAACTCAGATCCAAGCTTGTACTCCAACTTCTAGCCTTCACAATAATTTCCTCTTCTTCCTTACTAGCACACAAAGGCACTTTAGCTCCAAAAACACTCACACAGGTTTAGAACGAAGGTTGACTCTCTTTTAGGGTTTCACTCACTCAAATGGTGGCCGAGGATAAGGCCATAACCTTCTTTATATAGGGCTCAAGTCTAAATTAGGGTTTTTCATCTGGGTCGGTTACGCCCAGCGTAACCTTGGTACGCCCAGCGTACCCGGATGGATCCGCGTCCAAAATGAAGCGCGCGAGTACGCGCAGCGTACTCCTCAGTACGCCCATCGTACTCACAAGCCTAGCATTTCCTTTTTAAGGGCCAAGCTTGACAACTTGGAAAAGACGAAGGGTTAAATGGTTGTACCTGAATTTCAGGATGTTACAATTCTCCCCCACTTAAATTAGGCTTCGTCCTCGAAGCCTGTGGCAACACTAACTACTGGATGATACTCCCATAATGCATCCACAGATCCCGAACCGACCCAGATTCTCTAAACGCAGATATCGAATCTCCAAACATCCATCTCTTCCTTTGCAGGGTCCTGATCAACTGCCTCAAGCCGGCCACCGGCTTCCTTTCTCTGATAACAACACTCATCAGCTAAGTGTCACCTGAAGACACTACCTTACTTCTGTCTTACGCATTCATTCGCAACCTGCGAAATTGGATACCACAACACCCACTGAGCTCCGCCAAGACACTAATCCAACTTCCTTCGCCCAAGATTTGCGACAACCCCGACAACTTGCAACCTGGAACGAATCCTCCTGACGGAATACCCCAGGTTGGAATACATCCACATATATAACTCAAGTCTACAACCATACTCGGAACTAAGGACCTTGTCCTTGCGTCACCCTCGAACCCTTCGGTTCGACACAACAGAGTGCAACCCACTCGCACGTCCCTATTGTTGGATATAGTGTCTAAGTCCATAACTTTATTTGGTATGTACTTGACCCGACCCGGCATGGTCCATTTGGGTTGCATGGCATTGCAATACTTGGATAGACTAGATGAGAGAATAAGGCACTTATGATTATTAATATATTATAAGTTCTAATATATTAATAATATTATTATTTAATTAGTATTGATCAAGTATTAATCTAGTGTTAATTTGGTGATCAAAGTGAGACCAATTAAATATATAAGGGTTGATTATGACAATCATCAATTCTTTTATGGTGGATTAATGATCCATGGTTTATGGGTTTGGTTATAACCATATGGAGCTCCATGGATAGTCCATGAGAGTTACAAACCCATGGGTCATGAGAAATCAAGAGTCATGACAATTAAGGGCATTCATTTGTAAACCCTAATTGTGACAACACTATAAAAGGAACCCTATGGCTAGCAAAATCGTGACCTAGTGTTACTAGAGAGGGCATAACCGATTTTGAGTGTAAGAAGTATTCTCTCAAGTTATTCCAAGTCTTGTGGTGTTGTGTGAAGCATTTGAGGCACAACATTTGGGGTGCTAGGCTCACAAAGTCTTGAAGGAATCCAAGCAACAACAAGGTATGTATTTCTACTAGTTTTATGTTCTATGTAATCCCCATGCCATGCTAGTTAGGAAATAACCTTGAAAAGAAATTTGCATGTATATAGAGAAAACATAGATTCAAGGTTATTAGGGTTTCATGTACACTTAGGAAGTGTTAGAATGCTCAAAACCCATCACCTATCACGACCTCTAGGTCCTTGACCTCTGACTGTAATATTCTTATACAGTCCCCAGCACCGGTCCAGACTACTCCCGAGTCTGTCAACCTGCTGTCTCACCTTCCTCTGTCCCAATCTCCAATCTGGAACCACTTTCCTCCTCCTCTTCCAAGGAGACTGAAAACATGCTTGCGCATCATTCAACATTGCTACAACCTCAACGACATCCAACCTATATGTGCTCCCATATATCTGATACAATCCCAGTGCTTACTACCAGTAACCAAAGCACTTCTGATCATCCTTTTACTCTGCCGCCTCCCTCTCAGAGGACCCACACTCCTTCCGGAGCTACCTACATTTCCTTTCCAGGAAG